GAAGAGGGGCTCGGTGACTCCCGGCTCCTCCCATGTCGGGGCTGAGCGAGGAGACGGCAGAACCGCCGACAAGGGCCTCGGGCAGGCTCGTCCTCAGCGCTGGAGCCGCTGGCATTGCTGCACCCACCGCTGACGGCCGCTGGTTTCCTCCTGCTGGTGCGGGCGGTGGATCCTTCTGAGCTCACCGCCGTCTCACCCCCCTTTCCCCTACGCCCTCCCCCATCCCCGTTTAGGACCTCATTAGGGATCATGATGTGGGGAGGGAGCCCTGTTCTGCCCATTGTCAGTCCATCAAAAGCTGAAATGACTCGTCACAAAGGCCGGGGAAGCGGCTGCCCTGACACCCTAGGAAAGGCAGATGCAGGAGGCTCACTCTTCACCTCCCAGGCCCCATGGCTTTTCCTGGGAACATGGACCCTCGCCTCCTCCATCCTCTCCCCGAGCCTCGGTTCCCTGGCTCCTCGCCGTAACCTCCAGAGTCTCCATCCGAGCGGTGAGTGCCGCCTGAGCCTCACGCACACACCCCCGTCCAGTCCCTGCACGCGGGCTCCCTCTCCTCGGCAGTGACACACTCAGGAGTTAGACTCGGTGCGTGTGCTGTGGCTGGTCTCACCTACCTCACCGTCACCCTGGGAGCAGGGAGACCGTGTTCCGGAGAGGCAGGTGACCCTCCACTGTCTCAGCCGGGGCACGGCGAAGGCCGGGCTCAGGCAGAAACCTGTCTGTGGCTTCAGTTAGATGCTCCCTCCATTCGCTCCTCTTGGGAGGAGACTTGAGCCCGCAGTGAATGCTGCTGGGGTTCTCCTCTCTGACGTGCACACAGCTGTTGAGAGTCCGGGTGAAGCCGATAATCCAGCCTTTCTCCTGGGGGCCGCCTGCAGGTCCCCGCCAGCCGCCTCTCCTGGAGGCAAGGCCTGTGTCCCTTCTCTACGGAGTCCCCAGGTCAGCACCCTGGTGGAGCAGTGTTTGCTGGCAACGTGAAGGAATGAGGAAGTGAATCACTTCACAGCCCTAGGAAGGAGTGAGTGAATGAATGCATGACTGAATGAGTGAACGAATGAATGAATGAATGAGTGAATGAATGAATGAGTGGAGCAACTCTCAGCAGGATGGACTAATGCAGCAGGAAGCAGCTTTCCCGGTACCCGCAGTCCTGGCTTTGTCGCTGAGACCTGTCTCTGAGCCCCAGGGGGACAGGGACCCCGTCGGGCTTGTTTGCGAGGCCGTTCGCAGTGAGTTCGCACGTGCCCAGCTCAGAGCGCTCCTCCGTGCTCATTGGTCCAGCTGATGGGTGGTCGGCTGAGAGGGGTCCCTCGAGAACAGGCGGCAGGCGGTGCTCTTGGAGAAGGACTGACAGGGCCCCTCCCTCAGCCTGGGAGCCCGTCCCCCCGCCTCCTTCCGCTTCCCCGGGCGGGCGCTCACGGGATGACAACGGCGCCCTGCTCACCACTCCTCCACCCGCTCCTCCCCTAACTCCGCGTCTCATGCTCGTTAAGCAGCCGCTGCTCGGGTCCCGTGTGGGTGAGGATCCTCCCTGCACAGGTGAGAGCAAGGAAGGGATGCCTGGCCACGTGGCACAGGGGTTGAGCATTGACCTGTAAGCCAGGAGGTCATGGTTCAATTCCCGGTCAGGACACATGCCCAGGTTGTGGGTTCCATCCCCATAGGGGGCGTGCAAGAGGCAGCTGATTAATGCTCCTCTGTCATCATTGATGTTTCTCTCTCTCTCTTTCTCCCCCCCTTCCTCTCTGGAGTTGATAAAAATATTTTTTTAAAAAAATAATGTGAGCAGGTGACCCTGGGTCACCACACGGGCACTTCTCCGGACGCTCACAGGGGTGCAGAGGTCTACACATGCGTTTGTGCGTTCGTGTTGGCTCTGTCCGAGCAGGAGGGGCGCCTGAGTTATAAGCTCACATTCCCCATGTCCTCGCCTTGCCTTTTCTGTCTTCATCTTGGTTTTGGCTTTTTGTTAACAGTAACCTGGAAGGACACACACACACACACACACACACACACACACGGGATGTGAGCAGCTCGCCGCTACCACCTGCCGCCGACGCCGCAGCCCCAGGGCGGACCCCGGTCCTGGGCGGGGTCCCGTGGGTGCCCGGCGCTGTCTCCCTCCGACGCGACGTAGGAGCCGAGCTGGGTGTGAAGGGAGAAGCCGTGGAACCTGACACCCTGTGTTCAGGGAAATCACAGGACTAGACTCTGATCATCCCGGCGTCCTCCCAAAGCTCGTCCTCAGGAGGCTGAGACGGGCCAGGCCGGCTCGGTGTAATTACGCGTCCAGAGGAGCGGCTCGCCGCAGTGAAACATGACGGAGCACGCTCCGGGCGGCAGACACGGCGCTATCCACAGCCCCGGGCGGGGGCCGGTCACAAAACGCCTTTGTTCGCCTCCTCGGCGATCGGGGAGCCGGTGCCGCCGAGCGCGGGCCGAGGGAGTGTGGGGAGGACACGGGCCGGTCTCACGGGGAGCGAGGGCGCCTCCCCCTCGGAGTGAAATGCTGGCGCAGGCGTGTTAACTGTCCGCGTTCCGTGGCTGGAAGCACTCTGAGCTGCGAGACGGTCCCACCCGTGTCACTCTGGCGGCCGGCGTCTCCCCTGAGCTTCCCGGGGTCTCTCTCTCCTGCCTGCAGCTCCTCGCTAATTCTCTGTCACCCAGCCTCCCACGGAAACCCAGCTTCACAGTCAGACTCAAAGGTCCCCCGTGAAGATATCTGCCCAGGTTCATCGAACTTCATCATTCCGTTATTAAGAAAAGAAAGATACCCTGGCCGCTGTGGCTCAGTGGATAGAGCGCCATCGGCCTGCGGACTGAAGAGTCCTGGGTTCCATTCCGGTCAAGGGCATGGACCTCGGATGCAGGCTTCTCCCCGGCCCGGGCCCTGCTCAGAGCCCGGGCGGGAGGCAACCCATCGATGTGTTTCTCTCACATCCATGTCTCTCTCTGACTTTCCCTCTCTCTAAAAATCACTGGGAAAATGTCCGTGGGTGAGGATAAAGACAAGAAAGATAGAAGGAAATGGACCCGTCTGAGAGGAGGGTGGGGCTGTTGGGAGGAGAATGAGGAGGAAGACTGGGGACGGGGCTCCGGTGCCTGGTGCGTTACCCACAGTACCCCGCCCGGGAGCTGAGCGAGGGCCCTCGTGGGGGCTGGGACCCTGGGGAGCAGGTGGGGTGTCATCACGGGGGGGGGGGGGGGGGGAGTCACACACGTCCCCGCCATGGCATGCACCACACCCACCCCTGCTCTTCCTGCGCAGCGTGCTCTCTGCAGCGGCGCCCCACGGGGGGGCACTGGCGGGGGGGGGGGGGGGGGGGGGTGGGGGCCCGGTGGGGTGTTGGCTGTGCCCTCTGTCCACAGGAGGTGGGACAGGGAGAACGTTAGTGTTTGATCTAAAGCTGGCTGATGGGGTGCGGGGGGCGGGGGGGGGGGGGGGACAGTGTCCAACCTGAAATTTCTTACACTTTTTGCCTAAAAACAAAGGTTTTTTTCCTCCTCCTTTTCTTTTTTAAAAAAATATATATATATTTTATTGATTTTTCACAGAGAGGAAGGGAGAGGGATAGAGAGCTAGAAACATTGATGAGAGAGACGTTGATCAGCTGCCTCCTGCACAGCCCCTACTGGGGACGTGCCTGCAACCAAGGTACATGCCCCTGACCGGAATCGAACCTGGGACCTTTCAGTCTGCAGGCCGACGCTCTACCCACGGAGCCACACCGGTTCGGCTCCTCCTCCTTTTCACGGGCAAACAGCGTGATGCTGTTGAAAGCAGACTCCTCGGAATGCTGGAGTCCGGCTTACAAAATCCTCTCACCCAGACCTTCTGAAGCGGCTCTGGTCCCGTCTCCTTCCCGGGCCTCTTTCTGGCAAACTGGAGAGTCCCTGCCCTGCCCTCTGGCCGAGCAGAGGCAGGCCCTCAGGGTCGGGTGACGGAGGCTCCCGGGCCCGTGTGCGAACGTCCTCGCCGCGGGGAGCCGCCCGGCCAGGCCGGATTTCCGTCGGCCTCGGCAGAAAATGCTCCTAAAGAGAAAGCATTTCCCGCCGGGTGCCCTCTCCGCCGAAGGCACACGGAGAAAAACAAGCACCTGTGTTGCCTGAGCACAGGCCGGTCCCTGAGGCTGGGGCACGTGGCCGACGGTGGTCCTGTGATTATTGTGAGGCTGGCATGTCTGCACAGTCGCTACGTGCAGCTGGACAGTTTGAACATGAACACTCCACTGGCCCGGCCTGTGTGGTCCAGTGGTTGAGTGTCCACCTGTGAACCAGGCGGTCACGTTCAACTCCCGGTCAGGGCACAGGCCCGGGTTGTGGGCTCGGTCCCCAGTGTGGGGTGTGCAGGAGGCAGCCGATCAGTGAGTCTCTCTCATCTCTGATGTTTCTCTCTCCCTCCCTCTCTCTTCCTCTCTGAAATCAATAAAAATATATTATTAAAAAAAAAAAAAAAAAAAAAGCAAACACTCCACTGGGAAAGCTTCCTCATCATTATTCCCATATGAGAGTGTAAGTGACCGTCCAGCCACTCGACCATCTGACCAGTAGTTATGACATCCAATGGCCACCAGGGGGCAGATGCTCAACGCAGGAGATGCTGAGCTGTGGTGACGTGGCAGCTGCAGTTCTCGGGTGACACACCCGCATTCTGGGGGGCATCACTCTAGAACCGCCCTCTCGCAATCCGGGACCCCTCGGGGATGTCAGAGACTCGGTTTCGGCCCGATCCCTGCAGGCCAGGCCGAGGGACCCCTGTCTGTGCACCGGGCCTCTAGTGATGAAATTACACGTTAGAGAGACAGTTATCGGAGGGGAATCTTCAAGGACCCCACACAGACCACATTCCAGTGTTCAGGGCGGGAGAAAGGGATTATGGACACGGGCCGACAGGCCCACACGGTGACACATGGAAACCACGGTAACCGGGTTCTCATTCAAAGGCTTTGTGCTGGCCCCTCCCCTCAGCCCGTCACTGACCTCCCGCTTCTCCGCAGACACCCGGCAGCTCCAGCCGTCCCCGCCCTGGTCCTACGACCAGTCCTACCAGTACCTGGGCTCCATCGCCTCCCCCTCCGTGCACCCAGCGACGCCCATCTCGCCGGGCCGGGCCAGCGGCATGACCACCCTCTCCGCGGAGCTCTCCAGCAGGCTCTCCAGTAAGCTGCCGGACGCACGCCGCGGCCAGCGGGGGGCGGGGCCGGGGAGATGCATGGGGGGCGTGCGGGGCCGGGGAGATGGTGGAGGGGGGCCAGGGGAGATACATGGGGGGCCGGGGAGATGGTGGAGGGGGGCCAGGGGAGATGCATGGGGGGCCGGGGAGATGGTGGAGGGGGGCCAGGGGAGATACATGGGGGGCCGGGGAGATGGTGGAGGGGGGCCAGGGGAGATGCATGGGGGGCCGGGGAGATGGTGGAGGGGGGCCAGGGGAGATACATGGGGGGCCGGGGAGATGGTGGAGGGGGGCCAGGGGAGATGCATGGGGGGCCGGGGAGATGGTGGAGGGGGGCCAGGGGAGATACATGGGGGGCCGGGGAGATGGTGGAGGGGGGACCAGGGGAGATGCATGGGAGGCGTGCGGGGCCGGGGAGATGGTGGAGGGGGGCCAGGGGAGATGCATGCGGGGCCGGGGAGATGGTGGAGGGGGGCCAGGGGAGATACATGGGGGGCCGGGGAGATGGTGGAGGGGGGACCAGGGGAGATGCATGGGAGGCGTGCGGGGCCGGGGAGATGGTGGAGGGGGGCCAGGGGAGATGCATGGGGGGCCGGGGAGATGGTGGAGGGGGGCCAGGGGAGATGCATGGGGGGCCGGGGAGATGGTGGAGGGGGCAGTCCCTGCTAACGGGTCAGCCATGGTGTAAGACAGGCTGGCCGGCTCTGGGTCCCGCGGCCAGGCACGGACCTGCCTGGACGCCCGGGGCAGAGCTGGGACCCAGCAGAGGCGGCGGGAGAGGCAGATGCCGGGTCTGTGGGGGCTCACGTGGCACGGCCAAGGCGGGAGCTGATGGGGAATACGGCTCTAGCAGGAAGAAGTCAGCCGGCGGGCGCAGCGGGGGTCACGTGACCAGCTCCCCGGGCCCCCGTGGGACGGGAAGCCGTGAAGACCCCCCCCGGGGACATTCCCACTGAGCGCGCTCAGACGGGTGGGAGGCCCGTGGGCGGCGGGTGTCCTGGTGCGCTAGTGACCGTCAGTGGGCTCCCCGGAAGGCCTCACCTCTGCTCGGGGCCGGGGAAGGGGCCCAGAGAGACGGCCCTTTGCTGAACGCTGAGGACGACAGCCTCCCGGGGCTGGGAAAGGGGAGCTGGACGGGCCAGGCGGTGGCTCCGGGGACTCGGCCTCGGGGACTCACTTCCCGCCCCGGGGGGGGGGGGGGGGAGGGGGGCGGCGGCTGTGGCTCTGCCTCCCCGGGGCCATCGAGGCCGGCGAGGGGCGGGCAGGGGGCAGAGGCGCGTGTCTGGCGTCTTCGCGGTGTCCGTGCTGTGCCGGCCAGGCAGCGAGGGCTGTCTGAGATCCCCGGGTGCTTTCCTGCTTCTCGGAGCTTCTCGGCCGGCACCGAGGGCGTCGGGGGCCGGGAGCTCTTTGTGGGGGGCTGTCTGCGAAAGGCGGGCCTTAGCAGCCCCTCCGGCCTCTGGGCGCCAGCAGCACCCCCTCTCCCTCGGGACAACCACAGACTGCCCCCCCCCCGCCATGGCCGGTGTCCCCCCCCACGCCCCCGGGGGAGAACGGCGTCCTGGGGAGCGGGCGTGCCATCGGAGAGCCACCGGGCGGCCCAGTTTCACCGGCTCCGGCCACGGGCGCCTTGGGATCTTCCCGGCACCCGCGGGCTCGCGTGAGGGCGAAGGCAGGCAGGAGAGCGCTGCCCCCAGGGCCCTCGTCACGTCTCACGGGTTCTGCTTGGCGCTCTCTGCCCGCGGGCCGGCGGGGCCTGCTTCCGGAACATTCCTGCTTTCCCGGGAGAGGGCCCGTTTGGGGTCTTTGACCTGGTCGGCACCTTACAGTCCAAGAACCGCAGGGGCCACGCGCTCCAGCTGACCGTGATCAAACGTAAGGGCGATTTTTAAAAAAGGAGTGCCGGGAGCACCCCAAACCCCGCCTCGGTCACCCAGAGTGTGGAAGGATGGGTCAGGGCGTGAGGGTGTGAAGTGGGTGAAACCGGCCCCATCGCTGCCCCCGAGGGGCCTCTGTTGCAGGGAGGAGCAGCGAGAACCGCAGAGACGAGCACGGAGACACTTTCCTAGCAGATCTCCCCGGGAACGGGGCTGAGCCCGCCTGGCAGTGGTCCCGTGCAGGCCAGGGCCGGGGGCGGGCAGGGTGGGGGAGACACAGAAAAGTGGTCGCTGGGCCCAGCCTGGAGCCCGGCCCTGGCCTGCCCTTCCCTCTGAGCCGGCCCCGGCTCTGCACGGCATGGCCCTGGGCTGCCGTCTGCAGGGACTCGCACGCTGTCTGTCTCTCTCCCTCCCGCGCAGACAGACTCCACACCTTGTCTGAAAAGAGTTGTCATCCGGAGGTTTTCTTGGCTGCTTTTTCTTAAAAGAAGTTAATGTTTAGCTGCCAGCCCGGGTGACGGACGGCGTGCCTTTTTCTGAGTCATGAGAGAGCACCTTTCAAGGCGGCCATTATCTGCTCAGGCTGCTAATCCCGCGGGGACAGGGGGCGGGCCTGGCGGGGGTAGGACCCAGCTGTCAGCCCCATGGGAGGGGCGATGTTTCCAGCGCAGATACCTGCCCCTCCTAATCCCCAGACTTCCTGCTCTTAAAAGGCCCTGTGCTCACGGGTCTGCCCCCCGCCCGGCCAGCCAGAGGGCAAACGAGATGCCCGCCCCCTCCCCCCTGGGGTGTCACCAGTGAGGCCTGGGAGGGGGTATCAAACGGGACATCAAAGTGAAAACATCATTTGAACCTGAGCATCTAAAGGGCCCAAGGTGGCCGAAGCCGGTTTGGCTCAGTGGATAGAGTGTCGGCCTGGGGACTGAAAGGTCCTGGGTTCGATTCTGGTCAAGGGCATGTACATTGGTTGCGGGCACATCCCTGGTGGGGGATGTGCAGGAGGCGGCTGGTCAATGTTTTTCTCTCACTGATGTTTCTAGCTCTCTATCTCTCTCCCTTTCTCCCTGTAGAAAATCAATAAAATATTTAAAATAAAATAAAAATTAAAAAACTAATAAAGGGCCCAAGATGTTGGGATATTTTAGTTTATATTTTTAAATCGTCCCCTGAGGATATTTTTTCATTGATTTCAGAGAGAGTGGAAGAGAGAGGGAAAGACAAGGAGAAACATCCATGTGAGAGAAACACATCCAAGGGTTGCCTCCTGCACAAGTCCCCACCAGGGCCCGGGCTGGGGAAGAGCCTGCAACTGAGGTGCGTGCCCTTGACCGGCATCGAACCGGGACCCTTCGGTCCAGAGGCCGACGCTCTATCCACTGAGCCAAACCGGCTAGGGCCAAAAGCATTGTTAATATTTTATTATCAAAACACTGTAAAAGGGGTAATTTGACCAGCTGAATGGCCTGTGCAGTGTGACGCTGTTATTATGCAGACAGGAGGAGGCTCAGGGCGGTGTGTAAGATCGTCCAGATATCCTGCCCACAAGGGAAAGCCCATTTTCCCTGGCGGCGGAGGCCACAGCATCCTTCCATTCCTACGTCCCCGACAGGCCCCGGCTCACTCGGACCCCCGGTCCGGACGCCGCCGCGCACCAGGGTGACCTGTCACTCGCTCCCCCGTGGGCTCCCGTGGGGCCGGGGCGGACGAAGCCAGAGCGGGCGGCGCCCGTGTCTGTGTCCGAGGATTGCATCGATGAACACAAACAGGTCCTGTGTGCCTCCCGCTCTCCTCCCGCCCCACCTCTCCCCGCACCCCGTGAATCTCACTGGAAAGACGGAGTCAGGCTTCCTGTGAGCTCCTGAGCGTGTCACGGCTCCGTGGGAGCAGAGACAAGGGGCGCCCGGCTGCTCGCGGGCGGCCCAGGCCAGGGCAGGGCCAGGCCTGAGGAATGGGGCGCAGCCTGGCCGGGCCGAGCCGGGCCGGAGCGCTTGTCCTCTGGGGCGTTCGCCTGCCCACACGTCTGACTCGCTCGGGAAAGACTGACAGGGTGTTTGTTTGCTCCTGCTCTCCCCGTGAGCACAGAGCTGCTCGCTTGTTTCTAGAAGCTTCCGTCACCTCTCTGCTGAGGAGTGTGGCCCCTCTTCCCTTCACCCCAGATTTACAGAGGAGGCCATGTTCTAAAACTGTGCTAGAGCAATAAAAAAATATAACCACTGGAGGGTGGGAGGAGGGAAAGCAGGAGAGAGAGGGAGAGAGAGGGAGAGAGGAGAACGAGGCAGACACTAGCTCTCCCTGCTGGAATAATAGGCTTGAAATATGAGGAAGTTGACCAAGGGCCCAGGCCATCCACAAACAGATTAATTCTCCACCCCCTTCACACACACACACACACACACACACACCGAGCCTCCTCCCAGAGCCAGGTCTGCTCCTTCACGCTCCCTCTTGGCCTGGGAACATGAGGGCACAGCCACCTGCCGTCCCGGGCCTGGCGTCACTCTGTGCGTGGACTGGAGGACTCACACATTTTAAAACCCTTCCTTCGGGCTTCGGCTCTGGTGGCTGCCGTCTTTGGGGTTTGCTGACATGAAGGCTGCCGTCTGGCCTTGTCGTTTCTCGAACAATTCTGAGAGAGAGGAACCACCCCCGGGCGCCATCCTGAATGCACAGCGTTGGTTCTCGGGGGGGGGGGGGGGGAGCTGCCCCTCCCCCCTCCCCCCCAGGACAGGGACAGTGTCTGGGGTTGTGGGTTGTCACAATTCTGGGAGCGGGGGCACGGCTGGCGTCTGGTGGGCCAAGGCCAAGGACACTGCCAGGCATCCCACAGGCAGGCTCAGGACCGCCTTCCCAGCCCCACACAGACGGTCTGGCCACAGGGCCACTCCTGAGAAACTCTGGCACAGGGGCCCTTCCTGGCACCCAGGCCCCCCGCCGCCCCCACAGCAGCCGTGGGTGAGAGGACGCAGAGGGAGCCAGGAAGGGCAGGCGAAGCCGGACCCTGAAACCGGAAGGCATCGTTCTAGCAGGATGGGTTTTATAGACAAAGCTTTGCCGTTCCTGGTGAAATGTCAGCCTGGGGAAACGGAGTCGCGAAATCCAGGTCTGGCAGCCACGTGCGAAGGGGCGCTTCTCCTTCGTCCGCGTCCCGCACGGAAACGGAGAAGGACAGTTCCTGAGCAGAGGAGCTGGGGGTTAAGAAATAAAAGAATGAAAGAGACAAGAGGCAGACATAGATCCAAAAGCTGGGTGCCGGGTGGAGGCTGTCACTCTGATGGAGGGACAGTCAACACCACAGACAACACAGCGTGTTTATTGATTTCCAGAGGGGGGTTAAGGTCCAAGGAGTTTTGGGTGCCCAGGGCCCATTCATTCCTTCATTCCTGGGATTTAGCATATTAAGACCTGGGTAAGTCAAGGTCCTATTCGTTCCTCATTCCAAGCACCTGGATAAAGATAAGAAATCGGTACTGATGGTACTGATAACGGTCTCCCACATTTGGGAGGCTGTTTCCGGGGAGAACAGCCATGCCAGTCACCTCGGACTCAGCTGACATTAATTTAAGGGTCATCCATGTGCCTTCCCAAGGGGCCCTCTACAGCCACGCGTGGTAACAAACCCGTGGGCACCTCACGGTGACGCCAGGTGAGACCGGTGGATGCCGTGTCTGAGGGCCACGTGGGGAGGACGATGGTGCTGTGCTCACTCCACTCACTCCGATGGCATACATGCATTGACTCACAGGAAGTCGCCCATTTTGAGCTGTTTGAGGCCTAACAAAATGGCAGTGTCCTATGATTCAGCCTAAATGCTATGTCTAATGCATTGTAATGTTGTTACACACTAGTATTGTCACGATACCATATCATACGAATCATGACATCGTCTATTGATATGAATTCATTAACGCATCCATTATATTTCTAATTATTACGTAGTGTGACATTGTGTTATCAATTGTAATTATATTAATGTCAGAGACTAAATTTACGTTAATACGGGTTCATTCGTATATTGACTATCTAGAAGACTGGCCAACTTCTTTTCTGTAAAGAGCCGGAAACTAAATATTTTAGTGTTTCAGGTCCCTGCGGTCTAAGTCCTGACCCTCAGCTCTGCAGAGGTCGCTCGGCAGCAGGCAGAGACAGCGCATAAAGGAGTGAGGCTGATGCCAATTAAACTCTATGCACTGACCCTGAAACTTGAATCTCTCATAAATTTCATGACAGGAAGCAGTCTTCTTTTGATGTTTTTTCCAACCACTTAAAAATATAATAATACTCATCTTGGCTTGTGGGACACGAGAAGGGCATTGCCGGGTTCCACCTCTGGGCTGCAGCTTGCCAACCCCGGGATTATGCCAGTTATTACATCTGTACTGCACACGTCCGATATCATGTCTGTGCTCTACCTGTTATATTATATCTCTATTGCATATTATATTAACATACCCTGTTTCCCCGAAAATAAGACAGTGTCTTATGTTAATTTTTTCTCCCAAAGTTGCGCTAGGTCTTGTTTTCAGGGGATGTCTTAGCTTTCCATGCGCTAGGTCTTTTTTTCGGAGGGTGTCTTATTTTCGGGGAAACCCGGTATGATATTACTTGGCAGCATATGTCCTCATCTTTTACTGTATATTATCGTAATAGAGGCCCGGTGCACGAAATTCGTGCACGCGGGAAAGGGGTCCTTCAGCCCCGCTTGCACCCTCTCACACGCAGTCTGAGAGCCCTTGGGGGATGCCTGACTGACGGCTTAGGCTTGTGGGAAGTAGGCCTAAGCCGTCAGTCGGACATCCTTAGCGCTGCTGCAGCAGTGGAAGAGGCTCCTGCCATTGCCGCTGAGCTAACCAGCTGTGAGCCTGTGGGAGCACACAGACCACCCGGGGGCAGCTCCTGCATTGAACATCTGCCCCCCGGTGGTCATTGTGCATCATAGCAACTGGTCATAACGCCTTTTGGTCGATTTGCATATTAGCCTTTTATTATATAAGACTATCTCCCAGGGCAGCAGCATTCTGGGAACGCTCCTAGCTTCCTGGGCAGTAGCATTCTGGGTAGTCTCCCAGCCGCCTGAGCAGCAGCATGCTGGGTTATCCTTTGACTTCCCAGGACAGCGGCATTCTGGGTAGCCCCCATCCATGGGCAGCGGCATTCTGGTAATGGTCTTGCGGGTGGGCTGGCAGCCGGAGCAGGGCCCCTGAGCTCCCCTCTCACCGTGCCATGCTTTCCCGCCCGCAGCGGCCCCGGAGCTGACGGCCTTCGGCGACCCACGCCAGTTCCCGGCGCTGCCCTCCATCTCGGACCCGCGCATGCACTACCCGGGCGCCTTCACCTACTCGCCGACACCCGTCACCTCGGGCATCGGCATCGGCATGTCGGCCATGGGCTCGGCCTCGCGCTACCACACGTACCTGCCGCCGCCCTACCCGGGCTCCTCGCAGGCGCAGGGCGGCCCGTTCCCCGCCGGCTCGCCGTCCTACCACCTGTACTACGGCGCCTCGGCCGGCTCCTACCAGTTCTCCGTGGTGGGCGAGCGCTCGCCGCCCCGCATCCTGCCGCCCTGCACCAACGCGTCCACGGGCGCCGCGCTGCTCAACCCCAGCCTGCCCACGCCCAGCGACGCGGGCGAGGCCGAGGGCAGCCACAGCAGCTCGCCCACCGTGCCCGCCGCGCGCCTGGAGGAGGCCGTGTGGCGGCCCTACTGAGCCGGCTGGAACGCGCCTGGCACCAGCTGGACGGGCCAGGGCCCCAGCGCCTCCAGCTGGACCAGCCGGACCCCCGCCCCTGGCACCAGCTGGACCGGCCAGGCCCCTGCGCTTCTGGCACCAGCTGGACCGGCCAGGGCCGCTGTCGCACCATCAGAGCCCGCCGTCTGCAGAGCGTGCCCGGCCGGCCACGCGGGCTGCAGGGAGGCACACAGGAAGATTCCAGAGGAAAACTGTGAATGCTTCTGAATTAGCAATGCTGTGAATAAAAGAAAGATTTTATACCCTGACTTCCCTTTTTAACCAAGTTGTTTATTCCAAAGAGGACGGAATTCTGGTTCAGGGTTGGGGGATGCGACTCCTCCTGTCTGGCATCGAGTTTGTATTTTCACCTTCTTTTCCAGCACCTTATAAATTGCAAAATGCGTGTTTGCATTTGGGGTGGTTTTATTTTTATATATATCTATATAAATTGGAGCTTGCTTCTTTCTTACTATGACAATTGGGGGGAAAAAATATGATTCCTTTTCTTGTAAGGTTTATTTAACTTTTCTTTTGGACTTTTGTGTAGTTGTGGTTTGTTTGTTTTTTCTTAAAGAAACAGCCACAGCTTTTGGGTCATTTTCAACTACTGTATTCCCACGCGGAATCCCTAGATATTTATGTATCTTGATGTGCAGACAGTTACTTATGTGTTGATACTTTTTTATTATTTAAATGTACTTATATTAAGAAGAAAAATATCAAGTACTACATTCTCTCTTTTATTTTTAAATAGTAGCCAAAGTTAAATGTGTCACATGGAAGAAGGCTGGGGAAAAAGGATGTAATGTGATCGATCACCCGGTTACCTACATATTGTTTACATTAAACTTCCTTTCATGTTAATCAGACGAGCTGGTAGCTGATGCAGCCATGTTCTGATAGCCTTTTCAGATCCTGAGGGTCAGTCCCAGGGCCGGAGGCAGGCCCCGCGGAGGCTCTGCGATCCGGCTCCAGCTCTGGACGCCGAGGAGGCCACGCCTGACCGCAGAGGGCTCATTGGAAGCGGGCGAGGACTCACTTCAGCCAGGGATCCGCTCACTGCTGCCTCTCGGGAGTTTCAGAACAAACCCAAAGCCAGCCACGTGGAGGAGCAGCAGCCACTCGGGAACCAAACCCGTGAATTCAGGGGCTCCTCCAGGGTTGGGTTCTGGGGGAGGAAGGGGGTCTTCCGAATCCAGAATGCAGTGGCGTTTAGCTTTAAGAAAATGCTCCTCTCTTGCAGTGCCTGCTCCTTTACGCAGAATGAGATGTGTGGCTGTCCCTGAGGCCGGGCTGGAGGGGACTGGGCTGGTGCCTTTGCCAGGATGGGCCCAGCAGCCGGCCTGCAGGAGCCAGCCCCACCCCACCCCCCGCCTCTGGGGTCCCCTGGGGCAGCACCAGGCCCCCCTGCGCAGGACCCCACCCCGTGCTGCTCACTCACCACCTACCTTCCTGTCGCTGTCCCCAGGCTGAGGGTGCACTTTGACCTGCGTGTCATGTGACCGGAAAGACCCGTGTCACCACGGCTGCCCATGGCGACAAGGCAAGCATAGCCCAGGTGCCTGTACACGGGTGGCACTGTTGTAACTGGAGGATTTGGTCAGAGCGAAAGGATACTGCAGCTCCTATAGACTGGCCGCTGGCTTCCGCCTGTGTGCGCTCAGAGTGACCAGGGGCCATGCAATGTACCCCTCCAGCCCGCGGGCGTGGCTTCAGGTCCGTCCGGAGGAGCGTTTGAGAGCAGGACTTGAGAACAGAGGTGTTTATTCCGTACATGTCAGGGTTCGTGTTAGGAAGATCTTAGGCTGCAGGCAGCAGAGACAGCTGGGTTTATTTAAGACAACTTGTTTTTTGAGTTTTCCTCTCTGTCCAGGGGTGGGGGCCGTGGGTTACAGTTGTGAGTGTGCAGAAACAGAGTTTATTCTTGTTATTTATTCGTTATTGTATTATTTGCCGCGCACGCTGTGCCCCCGGCTGTCGCCCGCCCTGGATATGCTGTTTTACGCAAGCGCGGTGGCACTTTGTTGAGAGGGGAGAGGAGGCGGGTGTTCTGTTTGTCTCGTGTGAGGTCAAGGTTATCCAGGAAAGAGCTGAGGCAGAGCTCGGGAGCCCCAGGCCTGGGCCATTCTCATCTCAGACATCGTTCTCCCTCCGGCATTCACTTTCCTGTCTCAGTCTACGCTGCTCTTTTATTTTCCTTCCTCCCCTTTCTTTTTGGCAGGAAAACTACCTGTCAGTGGATTTAAAATGTTCGCTTCTGAAAAGAGCCTTTCGTGGCGAAGTGAGCCCGTTTACCCCACGTTGAATTTAAATGTTCTTTCTGGCACCTGCCAGGACCACATCTACCTGACAAGATGCTGGGGGAATGAAGGGGGAAAAATGGTGGTGGTTCAGTTCTGGCCCCTGAAGATATTCCTCCTGTCCTCACGGAAATCAGGTGACCTGTTGCGTGAACCTTCCATCTGGGGTCACGCGAGAGCAGGGCTGCTCGCTGTCCTGTAGGCCAGCGGGCCGGCCATCCGGAGGCCCTTCCCAGCATAGTCGGTGTTTGTTTTGGAAAAAGTGAATCCGAGGCCAGCTGCTTGGGAGATAGAGGCACACCCACTGCCTCTCCCCGAGGCCTGCCCTCGCTGCCTCCGGTGGCCCTCTCACCGGGGAGGCCGGCCGCCAATAATGGCAAAGCCAATGCCTCCGGGAGCCTTGGTGCCGGAGGAGAAAAGTGGGAGAAACCATCTCTACATTCACATTTCTCTCCCTCCTTGCCCCTATAGCATCTTCCACTTCTCTCAACATATCCCCCTTCTTTACTTTGGGAAATGGCATACACGCCACCCCAACACCGAGAGTCCACGCTGGAGGAGCCGCTCCCCTGCGCCCCATTGAGGAGCCGCGAGTTGGCGTCTTCCTGCTGGGGTGCTGCCCGTGGCACAGGCCGCCAGCCCCTCGGGTCCGCCCGCCGCCCCAGCGCAGCCCGGGCAGGAGCCTGCCAGGCCGGTTACAGGCAGAGCTGAGGCTGCCCGGTCTGTGCCCACGGGCAGAACGGCTCTCGCTGGACGGGAAGCGGATGGTTTCACTCCACGTCCTGCAGTTTCCACGGCGGGTTCCGTCCTTCCCTGTGTCCTCGGGACGTCCTGCCCCAGTGGTCCTCGGTTTGGGTGGCTCTTTTTTTCGGGGTGACATGTTGGGGTCTGTCACACACCGAACGGCAGTCTCCCCTGGTCTCTGAGACAGTTCTGACGTCTGAACAAAATGCCTTTGTGTTTGGGGCAGCGCACCGGCTGGGGGTGTTCTGTTTGTCTCCGGCGTTTCCCCGCTTCGCCAGGTCAGGGTCAAGGGGGCTGGCCACCTGGGCTTCTTTCCCTCCCAGGAGGGCTGCATCAACAACGTTCATTGTATTTATGTCTGTAAATAGGTTTTAAGCTTCCTTATAAAATACTGTTAATACGATAATGTTTTTCAATTCTGTGTGTGCTTCTGAGGACGTTTCCTTATGTTTGCTCAATATACTGTAGACAAAAGTGCTTCTCTCTCCTTTGTTTATTTTAGACTTTAAGACAAACTACTTTTTATCCACTTTTATAAAGAGCTAATCGCATGGTTCCAATTTTTTTTTTTTAAGTTCACTTTTGTTTGAAGGAAAATGAATGTGCAAAAGAGAAAAAGGAAAGACCCGCGGGTTCTGTGTGCTGTGGGGATGTGTAACCGTCGTGGGAAATAAACTTTCAACCCCAGGGCGGCGGACGGCTCTTGAAACAGCAGCCACGCAGGCGTCCTCGGCAGCGGCTGTGGCGGCGGCCGCTCTGCGGGCGGGTTCCGCGCTGGGGGCTCCTTCTCTCCGGCTCACAGACACCCCGTCCCGAGGGGCATGAGGCCTGAGGGCCGGGAGGCTTTACCCAGGCCCTCTCCACGGAGTTTCCAGCGGCGCAGGAGGGCGGGCCAGGGCCTGGCTCCCACATGATCAGGGTGGCCCCTTCCATCCGCCAGAGCAGCCCTAAACCCAGCCCTGGTGCCCAGCCTCATGTCCAGCCTCATGTCCAGCCTCATTCCCAGCCCTGGTGTCCAGCCCTGGTGTCCAGCCTCATACCCAGCCGCGTTCCAGCCTCGTATCCAGCCTGGTGTCCAGCCCTCATGCCCAGCCCTCGTGCCCACCCTCGTGCTCAGCCCTCGTGTCCAGCCCTCGTGCCCAGCCTCATGCCCAGCCCTCATGTCCAGCCCTCGTGCCCAGCTATGCAGGTGTCCCAGTGTCTGGACTGCACTGCCCGGGAACCTCGGAGCCTCCCTCTGTCCCAGTGTCCTCTGGGAGCCCTGTGACCACAGTGAGAGCGGGCAAGCAGTGTGGCCTGTGGCCCATCCCCTCAGCCCCATCTTTCTCTCCCGTGCGGGGCGAGGCCAAAGGAAGCCACGCAGCACTCGGCCCCGGGCCTGGGCAGCCCTCCCACTGATGGAGGGGCGGGGGTTCAGGAAGTCCTTCCCTCCCCTCCGCCTGCAAATGACATCAGTGTTTCCGCCCCCAGACCTGTGCCCCCACGTCACCGCTCAGCCAGGAACCGCGGTCTGACGCTCCTTCCCAGTCCGTGAGCGGAAAGAGGAGAAACTGGCGACGTGGACGTGATGGCTGATGAGCGAGGCGGGAAGTGGGGGGAGGACCGGTCACCTGGGTCAGGAAGGAGGCCGGGGGAGGGGGGCGGCCGAGAAAGGGACCCAGGGGTCAGACTGCCCCAGGGCGGGGAGAGGGGCTTCCCCAGATTTGTCACATGAGGGAACAAGTGGAACTAGTGTCCTCCTTCTTCTCAACTGAGAAGTGAGACAGTTTCCAGTGACGGCACCTGAATGAGTTCACGCGTGTCAGACACGTTAGAGCCTGGCACATGACCCATGCTCAGTGCATGCCAAATGCACACGGTGGGTCCACACGTCGAAAATGGAAACCCTGCCACATGCTCTCACATACATGTGGAATCTAATGAACAGAATAA